GTGCTTCAAATTCAATCTCCTTATCAGAAGCTTTTTGGTGTTTCTCCGAATTACACAAAGCTCCGGGTTTTTGGTTGTTCCTGCTATCCATGGCTCCGCCCATACAATCGACATAAGTTGGATGACCGATCGCTCAGATGTGCTTTTATGAGATATTCTCCTACCCAAAGCGCTTACTACTGTCTTCATCTACCCACCGGACGAATATATATCTCCAGACACGTTCAATTTGATGAAACCTCGTTTCCATTTGCAGATCATTGACTAATTTTGAATTCAGCCACCGCGGAAATCACAAATGAACTGACAGCTTGGCCGCTTCATACAACTCTACCCGAATCATCTCCTACTTCTCCGTCGGGGATCCCGTGCTCTGATCCTCACCCTCCGTTGTCACCATCACCACACCCGCTCCCGACAATTGCTCAGGTATCGCCTCTAAACTCTAACTCTCATTCTTCCTCCTCCAACAATTCTGAGCCCACTGCTCCAATAGAAAATGGGCTGCAACCCACAGCCCAGCAACCAGAAACACAAACCCAAACAGTAACATCAAACCATTCCTCACAAACCCAAGCCCAATCACCACAAAATGTATCCTCATTACAACCCATAAAACATATTCCTCCACCACGAAATCAAATGCAGCCCCGTCTTCGTCCCCGTCAAACCACCAGAACCAAAAAGCCATCCCGACCTTTACCCCGATTACATCCTGATAACCGCCATACTATGTACACACGAGCTAAGGGTGGTATTAGTCAACCCAATCCCAAGTACCTCTGTCACGCCGTCATTGATTCTACGATGGACCCTCGAACGGCAAATCAAGCTATACAGGATGAGCGATGGATAAATGCGATGGGTTCTGAATACAATGCACAAATAGGTCTGCGAAGCTGGGATCTCGTTCCTCTTCCGGACTCTTCAGTCACAATTGTGGGATGCCGATGGATCTTTACGACGAAATTCAATTCAGACGGAACCCTCAATCGCTACAAAGCGCGACTAGTTGCGAAGGGGTACAATCAAAGGCCTGGAGTAGATTACGCGGAGACATTTAGTCCGGTCATCAAAACAACCACCATTTGGGCTGTTCTGGGAGTTGCTGTTGATCGAGCGTGGTCTATTCGCCAGTTAGATGTTAATAAAGCTTTCTTGCAAGGTACCTTGACAGAGGAAGTATACATGTCTCAATCTCCTGGCTTCATTGACAAAGACATACCACATTACGTATGTCGTCTCAGGAAAGCAATATATAGTCTCAAACAGACACCAAGGGCTTGGTATGTCGAGCTCAAAAACTATCTACAATCCGTTGGTTTTCTTAACTCAGTCTCTGATACATCACTGTTTATTCTGAGGCGAGGCCGCTCTATTGTCTATATGCTGATATATGTTGACGACATCATAGTCACGGGCAATGACAACAACCTTCTCCACCAAACACTCGAAGCACTTCCTACAAGATTTTCGGTGAAAGATCATGAGGAACTCCATTATTTTCTTGGTGTAGAGGCTCGCCGTACACAACATGGTTTGCATCTTAGTCAAAAGAAATACATCACGGATCTGCTAGCTCGTACCAACATGCTCACGGCAAAGCCTGTAACAACACCAATGGCAGCTTCACCAACACTGTCACTTCACTCAGGTACACGCCTTTCCGATCCAACAAAGTATCGAAGTGTCTTAGGGAGTTTACAGTATCTTGCCTTCACAAGACCGGACTTGTCTTACGCTGTAAATAGACTCTCTCAATATATGCATGCTCCGACTTCAGAACACTGGCAGGCCGTGAAGCGATTACTGCGCTATCTAGTTTAGACATCGGGACATGGCATTTTCTTATGCAAAGGCAACAGCAATAGCCTTCACGCATACTCCAATGCTGATTGGGCTGGAGAGCGTGACGACTATGTCTCCACAAATGGGTATATTGTTTATCTTGGTTCGAATCCCTTGTCATGGTCTTCTAAAAAGCAACTAGGCATTGCTAGATCTTCGACAGAAGCGGAGTACAGGTCAGTGGCAAATACAGCAGCTGAAGTAAAATGGCTATACTCATTGTTTGGTGAATTGGGAATAACAGTCAACCAACCTCTGGCTATATACTGTGACAATGTAAGAGCTACCTATCTATGTGCAAATCCAGTGTTTCATTCTCGGATGAAACACATTGTATTGGATTATCACTTCATCAGAAATCAAGTCCAACAAGATGCTCTACGAGTTGTCCATGTCTCTACGAAAGATCAGTTAGCCGATGTGCTCACAAAACCTCTCTCTCGTGCTGCTTTTCAGAACTTCTCAGACAAGATTGGTGTCACTGACATGCCTCCATCTTGAAGGGGCGTATTAGCATGTAAATCAGATCACTGATTACACAATTTACGGAGCTACATATGTACATAATATATTCTCAATAATTGTCATTAACTCTCTCCCGATGCCCTAGCATTGTATCTGTATATATACTCTGTTTCAGTATAATGAAAAATGACTTCCACAATTCTCTATATTGATCACCGCTAGATTTATATTTAAATGGTATGCTGGAAGCTTCTTCATTGACGAGGAAAAGAAAGTTGCTGTGATTTCTTATAAACCAACCAAGAGATGTCTTTACCAAAGAGCTTACATCATTGAAGAAGATGGATACTTCAGATCTGTGAGTATCGGAGCTCCGGAACCCGAACAAGCTTATAGGTACCACGAATATAACCAAGTTGAGTTCTTTTTGTATGTTCCAAGTTTGGTGCAACTAAAAGGAGAGAAATATATTATTACCTAGTTTGATTATTTTGCATTATGTCCTTTTGAACAAAAGGTTACTGATACTGATAGTCCTAGTTTAGTGCAAACTAAAAGGAGAGAAAGAGATTATTAACTAGCTGTTTCATTTGCAATATTTTTATTTGTTACTTTTATGAACAAAGGTTTACTGATAGTCAATTATGTGTCATCTGAGAATGAATCACATTCACTTTATATTAGTTTGCTTCACCAAAATAAAAACGTGAAAGAAATATATTGAAAATAAAGCTTGTGCCACCTTTGAGCAACGGACAATAAGAAAGGAGAGTGCCAAAAAGGTCGTATAACTCCAAGAAATTCAAAGTTATCATCAATAGATCTGCCTATATGCAAGAATATAAACATTGCAAATAAAAGAATAAACAGAAAATTTCTCCAAAAATCTACTAAAAACAGAACAAAGGAAATTAAGCTACCCAATGAAGTCAAATACATCAAACAAAAAGTAGGATAAGAAACAAATTAATATATGTATATTGAGTAATTATAATCTTGTTCCAAGAACATGACAAATCAAGAAATAGATTACATGTATTGTAAATGGACTAATCAAGTCGCACTAAACTTTGGAACTTAATAAGAGCACACACTTGGGTAACAATATTCGTATGCAGATTCTCCAAGAACCACCTCTTTCGATGATTCATCCACTCCAACAATGTAAGATACGTTGCGACCGTCCACTTTATCAAAAAGCACGACGACTTTCTTCTCCTCGTCAATGAAGAAACTCGACTCTGAAACCGGAAACTTAAACCGAGGGTGAATGAGTTGTTTAACATTCCCTGCTAAGAACACCTTGCTGCTCCAGGACACCGTGTTGGGCTCAATCTTGGTCGTAACCCAAATCTCCATCTGTAATATATCCCATCGCTGATACAAAACCGCAAGCCTCTCACCCCTAACACTAGATAGAGTGAGAGTCTCTTCAGGATACGTTTCTGGTAGAGGCAAAGGCGGCCCAAATCTCTCTCTAGTGAAATCAAAACAAAGCAAGAAGTAATAACAATTGTCTCTTCTTGCAAAAGTTTTGTCTTTAGCAAACCAGTAGGTATTTCCCTTGAGAGACACGCCACGACTATTATGCTTTATCGTCCAGTCTGGAGTGACGTCAAGAACCCTCCTTGAATCAGAGTTGAAGCTGTAGATTTTGTACTCAACAAAAGTGGGGTTACAAAAATCTATAAATCTCAAGATTTTGTATCTGCGGCGGCAAGATTTGCTGCTCTTTGCGTATCCGAAAGCATACGTATAATAGTCCAATTTGTGAAAGTTATGTGTGGGCTCGACACGAAGTGTTTTCCCCCAAAACGGGTTCCAAACGATGAGCCTAGTGTTGTCTTTAGAGATGCATAGCAATAAATCGTCGCAGTGAAAGACTTGAGATACATTGATTTGATCTGTATCGTCGTCTAGGATAATAACTTCTCCTTCACGTTTTATACATGATTTGTTGTTGTTGTGAAGATTGACTCTCATCAAATAAACCCTAAAATCCATCATCATGACCACCGTAAACTCCTTTGCTTCTGCTGTTACTTTTTCTTGATGAACAAAGTGCTTCTTTGCAAATCTCCTGTTTTTGGATAAAGTGTTCCACTTTGTGCAAGTTGATCGGAGTTTTCTCAAAGATGTCACCGGAACCCTAGAGAGCACCTCCTCGACCAAATCTGTTGGTAGATCCACTAATTCCATTGGAAGAGAGGACATCTTCGTTCAACCAATATTGGTGTAAGTTGTAACACAAACTAGTTTAGTTGTTTTCTTTGTTTTTTGTCGGAAACTCTTTTTCCTGTTGTATGTGATTACAGATCTCTTAAGCAGAAAGAAACCCTTATCAAAGGAAAATAATTCGATGACGACCGACAAAACAAAAATATAAAAACCAAAAAGCTTATAACCGGGTCGATCCATATCCACTTAAGTGGACTTAATATAGAATCAATGTTGATGGGCCGAAGCCCATTTAACAAATCCACATGATTTATTGTCATCGCAAAGAGCTTTGGAGTGTTGACTCGGGAAAAAAAATGAAAATGAAGAAAGGATTAAACTAAAAGAGAAGAAGACGACGTTCAGGAAAGGAGCTTAAAGAGCTGTGTCAACCTCTTCCTTTCAACCAAAACCAAAATCGCCTTCTCCCGCGGCGGTTCTCCGGTCACAATCTCTCTCTCTCTCGCAGCGACGACGGAGGACACGACTGGTCCATGATGTTGAAGCTTTGGAGATGGTACCAGCGATGCCTTACGGTTCATCCATTGAAAACTCAGGTCATCAGTTCCGGCTTTCTTTGGGGATTCGGCGATGTCACCGCTCAATACATCACTCATTCCACTGCGAAACCTCGTCTTCTTCGTCTCACCGTTAGTCATTCTCGATCTCCCTCTCGTGTTCGAGAGCTTCTTACCTCGATTGATGTTTCAAATTGGGGGATTCTCTCCGATTCTTGATTTGTTCTTCTTTTGGTGCGGATTTGATGAAATAAGTTTTAGGTTTATTGAACTCTACGGATTTTGATTCACATCTAAGTATATTCGTGATGTTTCTGCTTCAAGTTCGCATCAATCGATTCATGTGCATCAGTACATTTCAATAAAATTGAGTAATGCTTCGCATGTGTATTGATTTATGAGGCTATTCCTTAGACATTGATGCTATTTCTGGAGTTTCTCTTGGATATCCAAGAAAAAGCTACTTGGCAAAATCTTTCAATAATTTGAGCTGTTCTTTTTGTTTGTTATTTCCATTAACAGTTCTCTGTCAGCTTAAGTGCTTCGAGTCTTGGGTCTTCTTTGTGTTATCATTCATAATGTATTATGTATATGTTGATGGTTAGAAACATTTCTCATTCACTTGTTTGCTGAGATTTCGTGGTGTTATAATCTCAACTTTCTTGCATGCCTAATGGCCTTTTCCAATTATCAAGAAGATGTGTTTCGTCCAGAACTTTGTGCACTACAGCCTTTCAGTTTTCTTTTTATGCAAGCTGTAATAGTTGAGTAGAGAGGTCTTCTATTGTGATAGAAATACGTGTGTGTGTTTAAAAACATTCTTCACGCTGTTGGTTTAGTACTTCCGTGTTAACTATTTTGGTCCATTGGTAACACATGGCCTATTGTTCATCCTGATATGTGGATTAGCAACATTTATGGCCTATTGTTTGTTTAAGAATGAGATGCTTTTGATGGCGTCTTTTGCTACAAAACAACCGTTAGAGTTCAAGAAACCACCAGAGTCATTTGGTACTTTTCTATGTGATTTCAGGACTCCATTTGCCTTTTAGGTCTATGGTATATAGGTTGCTAGAGGAATAAATTTAGTTAAGATTTGTTATAAATTGCTCTGAGTTTTGGCTAACTAATCGAGACTATGTTGAACAACCTTGGTTACTAAAACTATGTTTCAATATAACAAGGGACAAACAAATATGTTTGACATTGCCGGAGGAAGAGATCTATTTAACTTTTGCTAATATATTGTTTGAGTTTTTTTTGGCTATGTATCTTGTGTCAACACTAATCAATGTTCAATATAACAGGACACACATAAAGATAAAGAGGCAGATGCAGAGTTCAAGGTCAACTGGAAGAGAGTAGCTATCACCAGCATGTTCGGGTTTGGTTTTGTCGGACCTGTTGGCCACTTCTGGTTTGTTTCCTTCTTATTTCATATCATCTACTTATATTTTTTGTATCTCCTCATGTTGCCGCAACACTGATTCATATACTTGAGAGAAAGAATGGTTTATTGGGTAAATAGATTGATAGACCTGACACTGTTCTATATGCGGGGTCTCTCACAGGTACGAAGGCCTGGATAAATTCATAAAACTGAAGCTTCGATACGCACCAAAGACAACACGTTTCGTGGCAGCCAAAGTTGCAATGGATGGTCTCATCTTCGGCCCCTTAGATCTACTTGTATTCTTCACATACATGGGATTCGCCACAGGCAAGAACACAGCAGAAGTGAAAGAAGGGATCAAGAGGGATTTCTTACCGGCTCTAGCTCTCGAAGGCGGAGCATGGCCGCTTCTCCAGATCGCAAACTTCAGATACGTCCCCGTGCAATACCAGCTCCTCTACGTCAACATCTTTTGCCTTATAGACAGCGCTTTTCTCTCCTGGGTCGAGCAACAGAAGGATGCAGCTTGGAAGCAATGGTTCACTACTTCATTTCAAACGCTCAAAGAACGAGGCGGCACAAGTGGAGTATGATCTCTTTTCTCATAAAAACTTCGAATGAAAAACAAATCTGAGTGTGAGACTTGGGCGATTTTTCAATAACGAAAGTTGCCTTAGGATACAGATTCTTCTTGAAATCAAAATATTATTTGGTTTTCTTCCACAAGAATTTGGTTTCTTCTAAGTGAATAAAAGTTTTTGTTGTACGATGACTATAGAAATGAGCTAAAGCCGCCTCCAAGTGGTACTCTCGGTAGAAACAGTGTTGATGCTTTCAAGCATGGACAATAGCTGAAGCCTATAGCCTGAAGAAGCAAGCACATAGAAGAAAGAGAATCAATTTCTCAAATCTGAAAATTACACAAATGAAAAACAAATGGTTTTGATTTTCACTTACGGGAACACTGAGTAGTAATCCGCAGTGATTGACCAAGACAGGGAAGCTTCTTCTCGCAGAAGCTGGTATAGACTTTAAAGACCGGAGAGCTTTATGTGAGGATGAAGTGTTCGAACATTTCGAAAGCTCGGCTAGATAGAGCCAGTCTGATTCAACCATGTGTCGAACCTCCATCGATGTAGCTTTACGAACCGGGCAATTTCCACAGCTCGAATCAGCACAATGGTGGTTACTCAAGTTCCATCTGATGAGAAACCGGTTCATGAAGTAAAGATCTTGCCCTGGACCAAGATGTACTTTATCAGAGGAAGAAGGTGCAGTGTTGGGTCCATGATTTGTTTCATCCACCGGTTTGTCTTCTGGTTTAGTTATGAACCGATTGGTTTCATCTCTCTTCAGTAGGGTAATGGTTTCATAGGTCGATTCGCTTACAAGATTGAGCTCCTTGGCTTTACTCAACACTGATTCAGATGCAGTATCCAAAAACCGGACTTCAAACCGGTCTGTGAATGATTTTGCATCTGATGTGATTCGATGAAGGTCATCAAAAGGCGGTTTCTTCTGAGCTTCATTGAAGCAAATGTTGAAGATTTCTGACTTTGATGGTAAACAAGTGTCAAGAAAACATGAGACTATAACTTTGGTTCCCTTTGAACCAGGAGCAGGACTAAGATAGCAACCAGCAGCTGTAAGAGATGTCTTGAGTATCATCCAAATGAAGCAAGTTACCTAAATTAGTAAAGATTAAAACTTTAAGAAGAACAGAACAACATAAAGAAATTATTACCCTGCACGGAATTGCACGGAGGTAGTTTAAAAGCAACTTCGAAGTGTTTCCTCTGATTGGTCTCTGCCGTTGAGAGATAAACTGTAGAGATTCAAACAGATCAAGAAGAGTTCAAGAAAAAAATACTCAAAAAGGATAAAACTTTACCGAAGAAGATGTAAAACAAACACCTGCAAGATCGCAGTGATATACTTCGAGAGACAAATGTCTTTAACTTCTGTTGGGTTTAGTCTCTCTAGATCAAGAACAGCGTATCCTTTCTGCAAATCCCAAGAACAAAACAGAGTCAGAAGCAGTTTATACATATGAGCTTTAAGGTGGAATATACTCTTACATCTGTCACTGTTACGGTCTGCTTTAACAAGTCTGTACAAACTTTATCGACAAACGAACGTGTTCTCCTGCATTCAGAAATGACTTCTTGAAGCTCTGACTTGAATGTACCTGAAAAATCAAACAAAACAAGAACTTACATTAAACAATCACCATCGATATCAACAACAAGTCCAGTAACAGTTTGATGTTTGATAAGACTTGCCTGATTGTAGATTCCCTATAGATGTTCGAATCCTATTCCGAACAAACAACTGACTAAGATTAGTCGGATCTTCAACCCAATCTTGTCTTCCCCATTGACATATCTTATGGTAAAAACATCAAAAAAGTTAATGATGAACAAACAAACAAACCATAAAACTATAAAAACGATTCCTTTTGAAGTTTCTTTCTACCTTGTACATGTCTTCTTTCCATAAATCAAGCAAAGGACGCACTAAAAGAATAGACTTGTTCTTCATATGTTTTGTATCTAACTCCAAATCCCTGGAGAAAATCTCAGAAGCAAATGATGTACCCGCAAGCCCGAGAACGCCACTACCTCGAGATAACCTGAGAATGAATAACTCAGCCTGCATCCAAACATTCATGAATAATCTCTCTATTAAACCATTTTATCTAAATTCTCAAGAAGCCTTTTATCACCTGGTCATCTGCATGATGAGCTATAAGCAAGACACCAATCTGTTGTCGAAAGCAAACATTCGAAATCATTTGATACCTATACAAAGAGCCAAAAATCGAGTTTAAACAGATGATGATAATCTCAAAATCAATGGATATAACAATAGCAAGTAACCTCATTTCGCGAGCTGCTTCTTGTAAGTGACCTTGTTTCGGTTTACCATTAACCCAATCACAACGAGCAATCTCACATCTGATTCCTATAAATGAAATCCCAAATTTACTAAAACCTTGTTTCAATTTCAAAAGATTCATACTTTATAATAGAATGCCGTTACCCATTTCAGAAACTCTGGAGCAGACAAGTTCAGCTTCGTATTTGCTCTCTTGTCGTAATCCATGATCTACGATTACAGCAACAAGCCCATCGATGAAACCATCTGTCTTGTTAACACTACTTAACCCTTCGGCTTTCCATTTTGCGGTTAGAACACAAAGAGCCATACTATCAGGCCCACCTGAAACTCCCAAAGCTTGAAGACAGACACAATTACGCAAGTGTTTATATGTAAGTAAACAAACAAAAAGCATCAAAATTTCGAGTCAATTAGTGAACTTTACCAATTCGGTGGTGAGGTTTGAGTCCTGCCATGGCCATTCTTCGATTGAAAAGCTCCTTATACTTGGTTTCATCTACTGTCTCGGGAACAGAGGCGAGGTTACAGAACAATCGAGAAAAATTTGGGCGGCGGGGTTGAATTGGATACGAAGAAGCGAAAAGAGTTTTAAGGGGAAAGGAAGGTGAAACCCTAGCAATGGAGCTCGAGAGCAAAGTCGAAGACTTTCTTCCATTGGAGCATATGCTCAGACCTCGCGCCATTTACGAACGAGAGAAGGAACTCGCGAGGTGTGTCGACTTTGATTTCAAAACTTAATTTTGTAACTGTAAATTTTGTAATCTAACATTTTCAAAATACAAGTTTTGATTTTGGTTTTTTTTTTTGCCTAAATTTTAATTCGCTAAATGACATGTTAAAATAAAATAAAAATATTTTTTTGGCAACAAAAGTATAATTAATTATAGTTAATAAATCTTAACTATTATTTGAGAAGCATGTTTAATGAAAAATCTGATGTCATCACCTTAGCAAAAATTAGTGCAAAACAATATTACCTCATAAATATGACATAGTAAATTTTCTAAAATAAACGAAATGTTTTGATTGGTTAAGTTAAAACTAAATAAATTTTATTTTTAAATAAGAAAAATTTATATCATATATGAATGAATTCTCATTATAATATAGCAAGAATTCGAAATTATAAATAAAACAAAAATAAACAAATAAAAAAGTAAATTATAAGTATTTTGTTAACTAACGTTTTTTATTATAATATTGTATATATGAATAAAAAATAAAAGTAAAGTAAAAATGAATTCTTACGACTTCGGTTTAATGTAAAAATCTCACGCTATATTTTTTGTTTAAAGAATCTTTAACCCACCTTTATTTTAAATCTTCTAATTTAGAGGAAAAAAAATTGTTATTTTTTCTTCTAATTATAGAGAAAAAGTAACAATCATTTTTTCCTATAAAATAGAACTAGGTTGGAAAGAATTTCACTTATATTTTTTAAAAAAAATATATATTGGAGATGATCTTAATATTTAATATATTATTAAATGTTAAAAAAAAATATGAGTCAAAGAAGATAAAAACATAAATAAAAATAATTTTGATTGATTTTAAGATTTTATTTGAAATATTTTACATATTTTCTTACACATATTAATTTTAATGCATATATTTTTTCTAACACATTAAAATATTATTTTATGAATCAAGTTTTGTATGTGTTGTGATCCATTATATTTTATGTTAACAATTATATTAAAATTAGGAACATATCAACTCTTATTTTTTAATAACAATCAAACATTAAATATATTATTTTATACCTTAAATCATACACATATAAGTTTAGATCCGATTGGTTTAAACAATTCGGTTACACAGAGTTTGTGAAAGCGAGCGATTACAAATTATAAAAAAAATTGATGAAGAGATGAACGGAGAGCTACCGGAAAAATATTATAAAATATGATTTCATAAATTTAATAATAAATTTTTATCGTATTTTTACTGAGAAATCATATATCATTAAATGCTGAAAAATAAGAAACTTTGATTAAATACAAAACGATAGAAATGGTTTTCGTGATTGTTGTTTAATGCCAATAACTGCATCATCTAAAAACATAACATTTGCGGAAAATACCAGAAAAAACTTACCAACACCTAAATATTACATTTTACTTATTTCTAACTCATCCTTATATGCATAAATATACTTATTATTATTTTTTTTAAAAAAATCAACCATACATTATAAAAATATATATTTTGTTATTTTCTTTTAACACATAAAAACCATACTTCGATTTTCTTACAAATATGAATATAGATATAAATATTAATTGTGCAAAAGTCAAACTTAAATGCAAACATGTCGTGCATACATTTTGTTAACCTCGATTACACTCTAATTTTAATTTTAGTTGTTAGATAATTTATATTTTTAAAAAAATCTTTATATGTTCTAAGAGCGGTGAGGTGGTTGGTATGCATGAATGTGCAGGCCAACTGTCTACCCGCTCTTAGGATAAATAAATATGGTAGAATTCATTTTGTAATAATTAGTAATAGGTCAAAGAAAAATATATACTTAAAATATATATATTGGCAAGATTATATTATGTAAAGAGAAAAAGAAAGTATTATATAGATAATATTCAAAAAATATTATAAGAATTTAATTATTATTTAATATAACTTTTACATTTTTAATTTTATATTATTGTAAATGTTAGGAAAAATAAAAAGTTCTTAAAAGACACAAAACAATATAAAACGTTTCTGTGATTGTTGTTGAACACTTAAATTGTATATGTATAAAAACATAACATTTACATAATGTATAAAAAATTAATCAATACTTAAATATTACAACTAATTATGTCTGTAAAAAATTATATTTGCACATGCATGCAGACCAAAAATAAAAATTAAATAAATTATTATATATTTTAATATTTTTCCGTTTATTTAGTAACCATATTTACATTTTTTATCGAAAGAAATATTTTAAAATATTAATTAATATTTTTTATCTTTATTTTCTATTTAATTTATCGTTATGTTTTTTATTATCAAATCTTTATTATTTTATTATTAATAATAATTAATTATATACAAATAAAATATTTTTAATACTATATTAATCATAATCAAAATATAAAATATTTTATAGCCTGCACACGGTGCATGTCGATCACCTAGTCTAATTTGTTTTTTCGAACAATGTAAGTTTGAGACACCCCTTACATGCAATTAGGAAATCTACGTTTGCAATTCAGTATCTTTCCTTTTTAAGGTTTTAAGAATCTCGTAGAAGAATTATGTTAAAGTTTGCGCTATAAATCTGTAAGCTCTGCGGAGCTAAAAATATATATAAGCTTTCTAAATTCCAAATTGAGATTTTCATTCTTATATTATTATATTCTTAGAGCAAATTTCAGTTTTTAGCTTTTAATTACAAATTCTAACAGAGAACACGTCAGATATCACAAAGAGAGACGATGATGATTCCGACCAAAAAAAAAAAGACAGACGATGATGATTTCCTATCTTCCATTGGATTTAGAATCAGAAATAATCTCTAGGGTTCCTGCCAAGCCTCGATGGCAGTTACGATCTACCTGCAAACGATGGTACGCGCTATTCAAAGATCCGGGATTCATCAAGAAGAACTCGAGTAAAGAAGCAACGCAAGTGATCTTAAAGATAGATCGTAGGGTTTATTCAGTTAGCATCAACCTCCATGGAATCCACAATGGCGTTGATCCATTCTTTGAGGTTACTGGTATACTTAACACTCTAAAAGGTTCAGAACATGTTGAAATATGTGAAACTTGCGTTGTTGAGGTTAGAGAGAGATTCATCAAAGGTGAGGATATGGGTGACCAACACTAAGATTGATGAAGCCAAAGACTTGTCGTGGAGTGATTTCTTAGTAGTAGATTTGAGTAACTTTATGATACAAGGTATGGAGAGTGTGGTCAGTTTCTTGGTGGACGAGGAGAACAAAATGGTCGTGGGTTTGATATCGAATTGTTTCACACAACACCGAGTGAAGACATACAAATCATTCCTGAGCAAATTCAGCTGTTATTGGAGAGGTTCGTTGATATTTTTGCAGAACCTACATAGTTGCCTCCCTTGAGAAACAGAGAGCATGCTATAAACTTAATAATGGGCACGGGTCCAATAAGCGTAAGGCCCTATCGTTATCCACATGCCTACAAAGAGGAGATGGAGAAATTAGTCACTCAAATGCTTGAAGTAGGCACAATAAGGTCAAGTCGAAGCCCTTACTCGAGTCCAGTTTTACTAGTGATGAAGAAAGATGCTAGCTGGAGATTCTGCATCGACAACAGAGCATTAAATAAAGTGACAATTCCTGACAAGTTCTCTATACCAGTTATCGATCAACTTCTTGATGAACTCAATGGAGCTTGTATCTTTTCCAAGCTCGATCTGAGGTCAGGGTATCATCAGATACGAATGCTCGAGCGAGACATTGAGAAAACAGATTTTCGTACGATGAATGGCCATTATGAGTTTCTAGTTATGCCTTTTGGCCTCACAAATGCACCAGCAACGTTTCAGGCATTGATGAATGAGCTGTTCAGACCATTCCTTGGGCGTTTTATATTGGTGTTTTTTTATGACATTTTGGTTTTCAGTTCCTCCCTGGAAATCCATCTTCAGCACCTCAAAACAGTCTTTGAGATATTTGTGGAGCATAAGCTGTTTGCAAATAAGAAAAAACGCTTGTTCGGTCAAGAAAAGGTGGACTATCTGGGCCATGTGATATCACGAGAAGGCGTGGCTACTGACCCTGCTAAGACAGAAGCAATGAAGAGATGGCCGGCTCCAAAGACAGTAAAGGAATTGAGAGGTATTATGGGTCTGACAGGGTACTACATAAAGTTTGTTAAAGGGTATGGAACGATTGCTCGCCCTTTAACAGAGCTACTTAAAAAAGATCAGTTCGAGTGGTCGGGACGCACTCAAGAATCTTTTGACACGCTGAAAGAAGCAATGCTTACAGCTCCAGTTTTAGCCCTGCCTAACTTTGAAGAGACCTTTATTCTGGAGTCTGACGCTTCGGGTTATGGGTTAGGAGCAGTTCTGATGCAGAATCAGAGACAAATAGCATATTTCAGCTCGGGTTTGACTGATAGGGATCAACTGAGACCAATATATGAGAGGGAACTCATGGCTATTGTGTTGGCAATTCAGAAGTGGAGACACTACATGTGGTAACCCAACCCGGTAAACCGTACCGCGGCTGTGTCCCACTACATCCTAACAGTCTGTTTCTATACTTAGCCATATTTTAAAACTTTTTCCTTTATTCTTATTCTTTCTTATCAATACACAGCGGAATGTAAAACAATTCATCTTATTCATTTAACTTTCATAAAACACTTAAACAAGATTCAGGGTTATCAAATACCAAAGCACAAGGTTCGCTAATGATTACAAATGATCATCTAGCAACCTAACGGTCAAACACCAAAGCCATAAGACAAAGCACAACGTCTTAAACACAAACAAAACCCAATCCCGATCCATCCATATCCATCACTGCCGCCTGGTCTCGCCCCTTTACTGCTTAGTACCTGCACACTCAAGAAGAGAAGCATAAGTATTTCATAAATACTTAGTGAGTACGGTCATCCCGTAACATGATATATCATGGTTTTTATGGTTTTTAACCATGATATAAGTTCTTTTTGTTGAGTCTTTTTAG